GGGGGGGGGGGGGGGGGGGGGGGGGGGGGGCTTCTAGCTCCGCCCCCGGCCCCCTTTCCTGGGACCCCAGGGGCCCTCCCTCTCTTTTTCAGGCTTTGTCCACTAAGACCCCGAACGTTTCTGCATTTCCTTGGAATCCGTCGCTGGGGAGGGAAGGGGGAAACCAGGTCCTCCCAATTAAGCTCTGTGACATTAACGATCCACTTCCCAGGCCTCTGGGTGGGGGGCGGCAGGCTCTCTGGGATGCTGTTGACAGGTCCAGACCCAGGGCTTTGGCAGCTGTTTCTTTTCCAACAGCAGAGCTGCGGCCACCAGAGCCCCCTGCCCCTCTCCTCATGGGCCCGAGATCACAAATGCAGGATTTTCTTTTTCATTCGCTTAATGCTGTCTTTATTAACTGGGAAGGGTTCCTGGAACATATGATCAGTGAGTATGAAGTAAAGCGCACACACGTGCACCAGCCCCCCACCAGCCTGCCCTGACAGAGCGTCTCCGGGCTCCCGAGCAGTTGTCCCAGAAAAAATCCAGGGCTACCAGGGGCGGCAGCCAAAGGCACCGAGGGGGATTTGCAGAAGGAAATTACTCAGGATGCTTCTGCGATTGCAAACGGGAGGGGGCCTGGGAGCTAAGAGCCTGGGAAGGAGGGGACCCAGCCTTTGCCTGGGAAGTGGAGGAAATCTGGGTAAAGGGCCCTGCGGCCCGAGAGGCGGACGAGGTACCTTTTTTGCCCCCTGCTCCTCTTCGACGCCGTCACCGATCACGATGTAGACGGCTTTTCTGCCGAATCTCTGCATTATCCTCTCGAAACAGCTCTCCTTCCCTGCACGCACAGGAAGGAAAGAGAGAGAAGACGCTGGGGACCCAGGACTGTGGTGACTCGTAATCGCTAAGGAAGTGCTTGCGGCCGTGGCACAGACTTGGGCCTCAGGGCGACTCCCCTGCCCGTGTTTTCCTTGCTATCTGGTGAGGACCACCTCTTCGTAGTTTCCTTCCGCCCAGCTGCGTGGGCAGCTGGACTCGGATCTTAGCTCATCCTGATGTGTGAGCAACTGCAGGAACAGTAACGAGAACAGAGCGACTAAAAGTAGCCGCACTCACTGGATTCTCTGTATCCCAAGCACTCTGCTGAGTGCTTCCTACAGCAGGATTTCCCAGCCTCGGCGGTGCTGGCACGTGGGGCTGGGTAACTCCGTGCTGGGGGTGCTGCCCCGATCGCTGTGATGTGCAGCAGCTTCCCCGGTAGCACCTCCTCCCGTTGGAAAACGAAAAATGTCTCCAGATGTTGCCAAATATCTCCTGGGAGGCAAACTGCTTTCCCCCCGCTCCGTTTGGGAACCACTGACTTAACATTATTCATTTACTATGATGGCAATCCTTATGAAATTGCAATCAACGGAATTCCCGTTTTAGAGATAAAGAAACTGAGGCCCGTGAAGTGCCTTGAAAAGGACTGGAGGAGCAGTGCCAGAACAGAGAAGTTGAGGCACAGAGAGGTCAAGTCACTTGCCTGGGACACCCAGCTAAGCAAGCACAGAGTCCGGGATTTGAACCCAGGCTGCCTGCCCCAGTTGCTTGAGCTCCGAGCCGCTCTCTTGTCCTGCTCTAGGTAGGACTCAGCTCTGCGGCAGACCGTTGATCCCTCTGTGCCTGCTTTCTCCTCTGTGGGAGCAGAGGCCGGGTGCAGAGCTGTGAATCATCGTGCACTGCCTCTCCCTACAGCAGGTGGAGCCCACTCTCCACCCCACTGATACTGGGTCGGCCACGTGACTTGCTCTGACCAACACCGGAATGCTCGGGACCTGCCACGGGAAATGCGTGTGGGTGGTGTGGCTTGGCCCCCTTCACGCCTGCCATCGGTCATGAGACGAACGTACCCCTGATGGCCGCTGGTCCCACAGTGAGGGCGCATATGGAACAGAGCGGAACCCGGAGGCAAGCTTAGTGGGGCCACAGCAGATGCCCCAGACCCATGAGTGAGAAATCCACACTGCGAGCCACTGAGCGTTTGTTATGCGGCATCATCAGAGCAGAAACCTGACCGTTGGGAAAAAATAATGCTTTTCAAGTTAAAACAGGGAGCTGGAGGCCACATTTCTGTGCGGTCTCCACCTGGATCACCCTCAGCTCGTTGACCTTCAGGCTCCCCAGGTGGGAAGCAAGTGGCTAAAACATTTCCCCGATGGGATTTAATGCCTCTGACGCGGAAACAGAGTCGATGGGCGGGACAAACATTTTAGACGCGTCTGGGTTACAGATTCCTTTCGTGCAAAATCTACAGGAAAAAGATGCTGTTACATGAAACCTGGCTTTAAAACTTCTATCACAGGATGGAATGGAGTGTCTGATGTGCTCGTGCTCATCTGGCCACTGGCTGGATCGTTTGTTCATGAGTCGTCTCTTGACATGCGCTACCCTGGACCAGAATTTCTCGAATACTCCAGAACTACCATTAACAGTTAGGACCAAATCTGGGAATCACTGTTAGGTAATCTTGAAAAAAATCAACTCACGCTTCTATTTTTACTTAAACGAATTCATTTAAATACAGAATGGAATCACTACACACACACACACACACACACACACACACACACGCATTTTTTTTTTTTTTACAGTTGAATTGTGCCTTTAGCATTCTTTTTTTGAAGTTGATATTTCTTTTATCATTTAAAAATACATAGTATATATATATTTTTAAATTAAAATCCATGTTAGTTAACATATAGTGTAATAATGGTTTCAGGAGTAGAATGTAGCGATTCATCACTTACATATGACACCCAGTGCTCATCCCAACAAGCACCCTCCTCAATGCCCTTCACCCGTTTAGCCCATCTCCCCACCTAGCTCCCTTCCAGAAACCCTCAGTTTGTTCTCTGTATTTAAGAATGGCTTTCAGTTTGCCTCCCTCTCTGCTTTTTATCTTATTTTTCCTTCCCTTCCCCTATGTTTTGTTTCTTAAATTCCACATATGAGTGAAATCATATGGTATTTGTCTTTCTCTGACTGACTTATTTCGCTTAGCATAATACATTCTAGTTCCACCTACATAGTTGCAAATGGCAAGATTTCATTCTTTTTGATAGCTGAGTAATATTCCAGTGTGTGTGTGTGTGTGTGTGTGTGTGTGTGTGTATACACATACACTCCATTATATATATACAAACCACGTCTTCTTTATCCATTCACCAGTCAACGGACATTGACTTTGGCTATTGTCGATACTGCTGCTATAAACATTGGGGTGCACGTGCCCCTCTGAATCAGCATTTTCGTGTCCTTTGGATAAATACCTAGTAGTGCAACTGCTGGGTCATAGGGTAGTTCTGTTTTTAATTTTTTCAGCTGCATTATTTTGCAACAGCCAAAACATGGAAGCAACCAAGCGTCCGTTGACAGGTGAGTAGATACAAAAAAATGTCATATGTACATGGAACGGATTACGGACTATTAGCCTTAAGAAGGAAGGGAATCTGACACCTACCACCACACGCAAATGACCCTTGAGGACAGTATGCTAAGTGAAACAAGCCAATCGCAAAAAGACAAGTAGTATATGATTCCACTTATATGAGGAGTCACATTCGCAGAGACAAAGTAGAAGGGAGGTCGCCAGGGGCTGAGAGCAGGGAGGACTGGGGCGTTGCTGTTTAATGCAGATCGGGCTTTGGTTCTACAAGATGGAAAGGGTTCTGGAGATGGATGGTGGGGACAGTTACACAACAACGTGAATGTGGTTAATACCACTGAACTGCACCCTTAAAAATGGTTAAGATAGTAAATTGTATGTGTATTTTCCCATGATTAAAGATAAAAATATTTAATTTAATTTAATTTTATTTTTTTTAATGTTTATTTAGTTTTGAGAGAGAGAGCGAGAGCGAGCATGAGCAGGGGAGGGGCAGAGAGAGGGAGACGCAGGATCCAGGCTCTGAGCGGTCAGCACAAAGCCTGACGCGGGGCTCGAACCCACGGACCGTGAGATCACAACCTGAACCGAAGTCGGACGCTTAACCGCCTGAGCGACCCTGGCACCTCATGATAAAAAATATCTTAAAAAGAGGTTCTAACTAAGCCGCAAAGGCACACGAGTAGACTGTGCAGAAAGAAAATGACAGGCTCACCAGGTCCCGTTGCAGAGGCTCTAATGGCCACCCGGAGCCTGACGTCCAGGATTTTAAAATCGAAAGGCACTTTTCCATAATGTTCAGATCTAGAACTCCACTAAAGGCAAAAACTGCTCTGGGAAAATTGCTTCCAAAGTATACTATAATTTTTTTTTTCCACAGAAGAAAACAAGGGTAAAAATTTCTAATTAAAAACGTCTTGGGGTGCCTGGGTGGCTCAGTCAGTTAAGAGTCTGACTTGATTTCAGCTCTGGTCATAATCTCATGGTTCATGAGATTAAGCTCCATGTGGGGCTCTTTGCTGTGACTCACACACATGTGTGCGCTCTCTCTCTCAAAATAAATAAACTTAAAAAAAAAGTCTTAACTAACTAGATTTATTTTGTATTATTATACAGTTTTAGGTCATGGAAGAAGACCCCCCCTCCCCAAGAAAACCAATATGACTTGCCCTGATGATAAATGATGCTGTTAATTTCTAGTTATTAAATTCTTTTATCTGGGGGCGCCTGGGTGGCGCAGTCGGTTAAGCGTCCGACTTCAGCCAGGTCACGATCTCACGGTCCGTGAGTTCGAGCCCCGCGTCAGGCTCTGGGCTGATGGCTCGGAGCCTGGAGCCTGTTTCCGATTCTGTGTCTCCCTCTCTCTCTGCCCCTCCCCCGTTCACGCTCTGTCTCTCTCTGTCCCAAAAATAAATAAACGTTGAAAAAAAAAATTAAAAAAAAAAATTCTTTTATCTGATGGAATATCTGATGGAAGCTCTAAGCCTAAGGCTTGTTCTCTGTTAATAATGGAGATTTTCAAGTGTTTTATTTTTATTTTACTTAAATTAAAAAAAGATTTTTTTTAAGGTTTATTTTTGAGAGAGAGAGAGAGAGCGAGTGCATGTGCGTGCTAGTGGGGGAGGGGCAGAGAGAGAGGGAGACAGAATCCGAAGCAGGCTCCAGGCTCTGAGCCGTCATCACAGAGTCTGACGTGGGGCTCGAACTCAAGGACCATGAGATCATGAGCTGAACCAGAGGAGGATGCCCAACCGAGTGAGCCACCCAGGTGCCCCAGAGATTTTCAAGTATTAAGAGAGGTGTTAAAGCAGGAGAACACTAAATTGAGACTCTCTCCTGAAAAGAGAATTAAAAAAAACCCAAACATTTTCTCTCTGTGTGGTTCAAGGTTAGATTTAGGATTATTTGGTGACTTGTAACCACCTAGAATTAAAATCACAGCCTGTGCCATGCTGTGGTGAGGACTGTTTCCCTCTTCTTAGTAACATAATTCCATGACTTTTACCTGGGGTCATGGCGCTTAGCTATGGACTACATTTCCCAGCCTCCCTTGCAAACAGTCATGGCCATGTGACTACGCTGGGGCCAACAGGAGGTGAGTAGAAGTACAGTGTATCTCTTTCCTTCCTCTCTGCACCCTCCCCCCCCCCCCAAGCCAGAATGACAATGTGATAGGATTCTGATTTGACCACACACATGAGAATAAACCCACGGGGGATGGTGGAAAAATAAGATGGGAACGACCTGGGATTCTGGGTGAGTTTCAGGACAGAGTTGCCCCACTAGACTGGATCACTCGTCTCTGGTCTGTTGACACGTGAGGGAGAAATTCGCTTTGATTCTGAAGTCAGCCCGTGTATTGGGGGGTGTATTCGTTACAGCAGCTTTGCTGCAGGTATCCTAACTAACACACACACTTTAGAATATGGTCCTAACCAACTCCTTTGGAGGCTGAGGTTGAAGCGCGTGGTTTGTGGGATTGTTCTGGGGATCTGAGTCATGGCCCTGGACAAGGAAGTTCTTTAGCTTTCCTAATGCCGTTTTCCTTAAGCCTTTCACACAAGGGATGGAGAGCTAACCTCACCCACCCTCTGTGCATCACCCCGAGGTCTGGGTTCTCCCTACCTGTCTTGGTTGCACTGTAGATGTTCTCAATAGGAAACACGGAGCCCAGTCCATACAGCAGGACTTTGGCCAGGGCAGGAATTAGTTGAGTGGTGGTGACCAGCACGTTGACACAATTGGGCCTGAGGACGGAGAAAAAGACCGTGGGTCAGAACACCAAGGTAGAGCCAGGCCTGGTCACCCGGCAGCCTGAGCCTGGAGTCGGCAGGCATTCTGGTGGGGTTTGGGAGCTCTGGCTAAGTCACGTTCAGGTGAGAGTGGGGCCCAAAGATCTTTCAGCTGTTCCTCTCCTTTAAGCCTGAGGCTGCCTGGCACACTGAAACACGAGTGCGATACTTTTACTTAGAAAATCGTGTCCGGCGGGGGCCGCACTTGAGCAGCTGCAGCTGCCTGTCGGTGATGTAGAGTAATGTGGACCAGGTGTAGGACAACAGGGAGTGGTGAGGGCTGGGGCGAACTGGGGAGCACCTACCACTTCTGAGATTTTTACAGAATCCAGAAACCGGGAGCCATGGATTACTTTCCCATCTTGGGGCCGGAGTGCGTGTCAAACTCGACGCATCAGCGGGATGGAGCCAGCGGCCATCTTGTGACCGTTCGTGTGTGGCGTCGTGAGATTCTGGGATGCTATCGCACAGACGGTAATTTGTCCTCTGGCCCAGGTGATCTTATTTAGGAGCAAGAGGCAACTTACTGGGAGGCCCAGAATGAAACTGGACGCTCCTTACCTCGTAAGTGCCAGATGATCTGCGGTCTACTAGAAGATGGTTTTTAGAGGGTGGGTGTTGTGGGCAAGAGTGGATGGGACAAGATGGACCTATGTACAAATGTTCGGGCTCTGCTGGACCCTGGTAAGTCTCTGTAGCTATCTGCTCAGCTACGGTACAAGGTGTCCCTGGTGTCTGATAATACCTCCACTTTATCAAATGTCTGGAAAGCCTGCAAATGAGAATTTTGAGAGTCCAGTTCTCCCAAGTGTGGAAACGGAGGAGCCACCACCCTCAAATCGGGGAACGTTCAGGGGCGCAAAGGAAAAAGGGGGCTCCCACCTACCGGGAATTGATGAGGTTGAGCGCCTTTAGAGAGTGGGTCAGCCAGAGGTCGGTCAGAGCCTCCAGCTCGGCTCTGAGCTGTAGCCAAGTCTCTCTTTTGGGAGCTCCTATCAAGCCTATGGACAAGGGAAAAAAAGATGGGCTAGTTATTATTTTAGAAGTCTGGGCGGTAGTGGTTAGGGGAGTGTAGCTACTGGTTCTCTGGGTTTCAAATCAGATGACACCCAAGGTCAACTTTAATCCAGTGATTTTAATCTTATTTTGGGATTGATGGGTCAATCAACCCATCTACTGATTGATCCATTCATCCACCCATCCACCCATCCGCCCTCCCATCCTTCCAGCCCTCCCTCTGCCCACCCGTCCATCCATCCATCCATCCATCTGTCCGTCCATCCATTCCTCTGTCCATCCGTCCACCCATCCCTCTGTCCGTCCATCCGTCCATCCATCCATCCATCCATCCATCCATCCATCCATCCATCCCTCTGTCCATCCATCCATCCATCCGTCCATCCATCCATCTATCCGTCCATCCATCCCTCTGTCCATCCATCCATCCATCCATCCATCTAACCAAGACTTCAGGAGTGCCCTCTGTGTGCTCAGTATTGTAATAGGCACTGCATACACAGATGAACAAAAAATGCAGATGATTGAGTTCATACTGTTATTAGTGGAGACAAAAAATGGATAAGGAAATAAAAATGACTAACATTTATTGAGTGCTTACTATGTGTAGGGTCCTGGGCTCTTAACATGATTTATTTCGTTCATCTTCACAGTGACCCTAGAGGGGGACCCTCTTTTTATTTATTTTTAATGGAGATATAATTGGCATATAACATTGTGTAAATCAGGTAAAGAAACTGAGGCTGCGTGAGGCTGACGGACTTGCTCACTGCAGGGAGGACATAATGGAGACAGGTTTGGCAGCCAGGCGGCAGACCTCCAGAGCCCACCCTACGGTGTTTCTAAACCTGATCATCATCCTGTCAGTCGTCGAGGCCCTTAAGATGAAGTTCAGACTCCACAGTCCACGTGCCTGCGAGATTGCCAATCTCCCCTCTCGCCATTGCCCTGACGTCCTTCCATTCCCGTCCCGGTGGCCTCCTCTTTGTCCCCTGGAACATCAAGTCTGTTCCTGTCTCAGGACCTTTGCACACCTCGTTTCAGAACCTGGACCACACCTTCCCTTTTTGCATAAATACTTCACACTCATTTCCAGCGTCCTTTCTTCTGGAAGGCTTATCCCGGTCAGCTCTATGTTATACTCCGCCAACACACTGTACTTCTTTACAGCACTTGGCACAGGTATAACTCGAAACGCATCTGTGTGATTATGTGTTCCACGTCTGCTTCAGCCATTATGCCGTCTGCTCCGTGAGGGCAGGGACCAAGCTGGCTTTGTTCAGCACCATGGTACCAGCCCCTGGGAGGTACTGTATGGCAGGGGCTGGTGCATGGTTGATGCTGAACCAGGGAGAATGCACTCAGTGGGACAGGAATGCTTCAGGTGGCCCCTGGCTTTCCTTTCTCTCTGTACCTTCCCCACGGCCCCTTAGCTGGGGCACTTGAGAACAATGCAAACTCCCAGGGGCGCGGTGCCGTATGTTTCGCAAGAGGCTTCCCCCGGGTGCTGCCATGGGTAGCCAGCCCGTCAACCACTCCGACGTGGCACCTGCTAGGAAGCATGCTTCGAGCTTCTGTCTGCCTGCCCCCTACCTGGGGCTTTGCCTCAGACTTGCTCTCCTTCCCCGGACACGTGCAACATTTAAGAAGTGCTCACGGTGCGGCAGCCCTGTTCTGAGTGTCTCCCGCGTGTGAATTCACACGATCCTGACATTTATCCCATGAGTTGGGCCGCGTCATTATTCCCATCTTACACATGAGGAAACTGAGTCACAGAGGGGTTAAGTAACCTGCTGGGGGGTACAACAGGATGTGGTAGAGGGAGGTGTGAAATCAGGCAAAGGCCTCTCTCTGAACCCAGCCCCTGCCTCCTGGAGGCTGACTGGTTAATCTTTTTTTAATGTTTATTTATTTTTGAGATGGGGGGCGGGGAGGAAGCAGAGAGAGAGGGAGGCACAGAATCCCAAGCAGGCTCTAGGCTCTGAGCTGTCAGCACGGAGCCCGACACGGGGGCTCGAACTCAGGAACCGTGAGATCATGATCTGAGCTGAAGATCGTGATCGGATGCTGAAAGGACTGAGCCCCCCAGGCGCCCCTTGTTAAGCATTTTCTATCTTCACCCTGTATCTTGCAGATGTCTCTCTTCTGAGCACAGCTTCCAAAACCCTTGGGCTCCTGGGTGTGTGGTGAGCCCCAGGCTGGGGGCTGCAGCCCTCCCCAGGCTAGTTCTGTGATGCGGGAACAGCTGGGGGGAGGTGAGGGGGAGTAACATGCAGAGACTGGAGGTGGGTGGGGGGAGGAAGGGGAGGGCTGCCCACGGTGGCCCCTACTGGCCGACTCCACCCGTCTCCCCTATTCCAAGTACACCTGCTCCCCTCTTCTCTCCACGTAGGGGTGGGTGAGCAAGCAGGGCTGACTCTGCCGCTCTCTGCTTCCCTCTCACAGTCCGCAGACTTGGGTGTGAGAGGCCACGGGGTGTGGGCAGAGGTGGTGAGGCAGTCGGCCTGGCACTCCGTTGTGGTGGCTCTGCCACTTGGGCTGTGTGACGCTGGGCAGGTTACTTAACGTCTCTGATCTCAGTTTCCACCTTTACACAACATGGAGGACAAAAGCACTTACCTTATGGGGGTCTCGTAAAGAGCAAATAAGATATTAGATGACAAGCCCTCATCACAGAGCCTGGCATACAGTAAGCGCTCAGCAAACGTTAGCTGTTGCCAGAACTGCATTAGGACTGCAGCCACGGACGAGACAGAAAATCCGTCCCCAAAAAACCGACAGTCCGTCTGGAGAAAGCAGAAGGCAGAGAAGAATTCGAAAAACTCCCAAGCAAAACTGAAAGGAACTAAGGACAAATGCTCCCATTTTCTGAGTGCCCCCTATCGAACAGGCACAGAGTCATGACTTTTGTGCCCAATAACAACAGACGTTCCCATAACCCAGGGAGACAGAATTAGTCTTATCCCCAGTTCTCAGATTTAGATGCCAAGGCTCAGGGAGGTAGCTAGCAAGTGGAGGCATTGGGACGTGAAGTAGGTTCTGTGCAGTTTGAGACCCTAAATTCTTTCCGGGACTCTTTCTGGGGCTGGGGGAGGGCGCCCTAGACACTCTGGAGGCCACGGGGTATATGGCAACACTATCGGCTGCCTGCTCAGACCTCTTCCCTTTATGGGCCAGTGGTTGGTTCCACACTGACAATCGAAACGCCCCCGAATGCCTTCTTGGGGAGAGGCAGCATCACCTCCTGTTAAGAGCTACTGGCCTAGAGAGTTCTAGAAATAGTGATCTAGCACTTGCCCAAAACCGCGTCCAGACTTCTTGTTCAGCGTGATAACCAATGGTCTCTTGCTACTGACCCTGGTGGCTGTCCCCTTGACTGCACATCTGAGCCTGAATTCTGTGATTCCGACCCAGGCTGCAGCCACGGAAGTCAGAACCGGGGGCACCTGGTGGCTCAGTCGGTTCAGCGTCCAACTCTTGACTCTGGCTCGAGTCATGACGTCACGGCCGTGAGATGGAACCTGGAGTCGGGGCCTCCTTGGGATTCTCTCTCTCAACAAGGAAAGAAAACCAGACCTGGAAATGCCGCTGGTGGTTCCAATATGAGAACCAGTGGCCTCCAGTCCATCTCCAGCTTCAATGTTTCCACAAATTACGTGGGGATCTTGTTGAAAATGCAGATTCTGACTCAGTCGCCTAGAGTAGGGCCCGAGAGTCTGACGTCCAAGGTGACCGGCCGTCTGAGCCGCAAGCGCCAAGCCACCGGCCCTCCAGCTCCAGCGAGTGACAAGTGTCGCCCGGAGGGCGTGATGGAAGCAGAGGGCCGGCCCACCCCAGCCTCAGACTCGGCAGGTCCGAGGAGGGCCCGAGACGCTGAGGTCCAGCACGTCTCCGGGTGCTGCTGGTGCGGTGAGGCCACCCCACCCCCACCCCCAGTGGTCATGTGATCCTGGGCAGGCGGCGTCATCTGTTCTCAGCTTCCTCCCTGTCTAGGTGAGATGTAGTGTCCTCTCCTGGGGCGC